TAAGTAGTCAAAAAATTGAAAATGTTTTTATTCACTGGAGAAAAGAAATTCTTCTATACACAAAGTAAATTTAAGTGAGATTAACATATAGTATAAAATATGATGTATCTCTAAAATAGGTATGTCCAATATAGTCTACTAAAATATATTTCATTTTCAAATATTAAAATCCTATGGCAAAAGAGTTTTCTAACTTACCCAGACACTCTGTGAGCAAACTCAATAATATCATCTTTAGTCCGTGGACCTCTGTAATTATATGCCAAGTCCCCCTTTAATCTTAAAAAAAAAAAAAAAAAAGTTGAAATTTATTTGAAAATGTAATTTATATATAAAATTTAATTTAATTATCTCTGTATTTAATGTCAATCATCCACTACTGCATAAAGTTAAACTACATAAAATACATAAGGCACTAAACACAGAGAAGCTACAGAAGTAGCACAGTCATGGAAAACAGAGGGCAACTGCCATTAGAGTAAATGCAAAGGAAAGATGACAGTTCACTAACATGACATGAACACATTCTCCTCTGTAGAGGACAGCTCTATCATACGCCTTCTGAAAGCTGAATATCTGCACATTTATAGTCAAAAGCTTCACACTAGTGTAATTTTCATTATCTTCTCTGTCCAATGGTAAATAAAAGGACCAGGAACTAAGCATTTTTGTGGAGGCAAAGTACATTTTCACCAGTACAATATTATAGTTATTTGATAAATGCTGCAACATGCATCATGAACTATGCATAAAACAGCATTCCTAAAACTTAGACTATCCTCCAAAAACCTGCTGATGAATTAGTTAATGTCTAGTTAACTGCACATTAAAAAGAACAACAAAGAAGCAAAAATAGAACATCAATAAAGAAGAAGTAAGGGAAAATTTATTTAACACAACTATAATACAAATAACCAACATTTTTCAAAAACAGAGGAAAAAGGTCAACATAAAGCTGCAGAAATAATAAAGTAACTCAAATTTTGTAATTTGGGATTCCAAGACATTGGAGAGAAAGTCAGTTTACTTAAAAAAAAAAACAACTGAAAACAACTGCTTAGCTCCCCATATTACCAAAATAAGGATAATGAAAATGATGGAAAATTCAATAAAATCATTACAATAATAACAATTCCTTCAGAATCACAGCATTTTTTCCAACTTATATTCTCTACTAGATATGACCCATGGATTAGAATTGACACACATCAATGTTGATTAGCTTTATTTCATGCCACATAAAATAAGTCTCTTCAATCACATATGTGAAATCCATCAGGAGACATGATTATGAGGAAAAAGCATAATATGGACCTGAGCTCCTCCAGAAAGAGACCTTCCTAATTTATGACTGTATACCTCATCCTGCAAGTATATGCCAGGGTAGGCACTCAGAATACATTTCCTGAATTAGCCATATACCACACAACTTAAACATGAAGAAAAAGCATAAAGGTGTACTCTCTTTTCTGGGATCATAGACTTGGATTAAAAACAATGGCTGGAATCAGACCTTCAACCCTGTGAAGAAATCACTAGAAATAAGTGAAATGTAAGCAGAGTGAACTATTAAAATATACATATAAACACACAACACTCAACTTACAGCTTAATTGTTGGATAACCTCGAACTCCAAACTCTGAAGCAATGCCTTGACAAGAAAAAGAATAAATATTTCTAAATTTAAACTGAGAAACTAGGTAACACATGAGCCTTTTTACTTAGGGAAAAAAGCATATTTCTATAAACCCAAACATGTTTTTAAGTGTTAAGAAATTCACAAAGGAAAAATACAACATGACATTTTCATACAAAACAATTAATAGCCTAACCTATGAATTACATGAAATACTCAGAAGGGATAAAAATGAATACCAAAGGAAGTTACATCTCTCCCTCCCCTTCCCCTAAGATAACGTCCTTCTCTCCTGTGGCTCCCTCTCTAGCTTCATGACCCACCCCTAAGATGACGTCCTTTTCTCCTGTGTCACCTTCTCTAGCTTCATGACCCATGCTCTCCCCACATGTACACACAAATAAAAATCCAGGGAACTCATATGAGAGAATGCATGCAGCAAGATTTTAAAATGAGAACACATGTAGAGAATAATATATCATAGTCTGGCATACAGAACTCTGTAACCTTCCTCCCCTGATTCTGATCTCACTGCTAGCAATTATCAGATGGTACATTAATGAAAACAAAATGTTAATAAATACTAAAGTGGAGTATTTTATAACTTAAATATCATTAACTGTACCTCAAAATAATAGTGTGAGGAAAAAATGGTGCAAATTCAGATAAAGAAAATAAAAATAGAGAGGACATGGAAACTTGTGTGAGTGAAAAATAGTAATCAGGAAGCAAGGGTTGAAATTCGTCTAACAGACTTAAGTTTTTATCTTAAACTTGAGGGAAGAATGGTTTATATAAAAAGCTGAGATCATTCCCTATCTAGAGGAAGCTGATTACAACCTGAGTAACTTCCCTTGAAGCTTTTAAACTGTTTTTTAAATTTTTAAAAATTTATTTAGGTTTCTACTTTATGGGTGTTTTGCTGCATGGATTTAAGTGAGCCCATGCTGTGCAATGACCTCAGAAGCCAGAAGAGGGCGTTAGATCCCCTGGAAATGGAGTTATAGATAGTTGTTAGCCTCTGTGTGAGTGGGTGCTGGAACTGAACCCAGGTTCTTACAAGAGCAGTCAGTGCTTTCAATTGCTGTGCCATCTCTCTAGTCCCTGATGCTTTGTAATTTTAAGCATTCATAAAAAAGGTTAAATGTGAAGTCAGCTACTTTATTTCTGTTTTCCCGTTGAATTATCACAGCTCGATAGTATAGACAGATGGGAAGTATCAAGATGACCTTAGATTCTAGGCCAAACTTCGCCTTCGACGTAACATATGAAATTGGTCACTCCACTTTCAGTTTACTTACCTTCCATTACCAGATCTATGAACTGAAGGGGGTAGGAATGAGGGCTAGACTTCACCTCTGAAGTTCTTACAGCTAAAATAGTAAAAACACTATTTTTCTTCATATTCACTGTCACTATATGGTCAACATGAAAAGGGCATTAAGTAGTGACTCTTACATAAGTAGAAATACTTTTGATTAGCATATCGGTTAGAGTCAGTGACATGACAAATGGGGTTCTACTGGTATCTAAGAAGCAGAGATCAGAGATGTTGCAAAACATTTCTACAATACACAGAACACAAACAGCATAGCATAAAAAGGGAAGTCAAAAATATATCTCCCTAAACATCAATAACATAAGGTTGAGAAACCCACTATAGTCAAGGATTACAAAGAGTTGACAATCAGGAAAGGAAATCAATTTGCAAATATAATCCTTAAACAGGAAGTCAGAGTATTTAACCAAACGCCATTGCAAATGTTGGCAACAGAGTGAGACAAACATAATCTTTTCAGTAATGAGGTTACACGTTACATGTAAGCTGAGAGTAAAGAAAATTTTAGGGATTCTAGGACAGAAATCAACATACTGTGATAGAGGAAATTATATCATAATTTAATTTCTGAATGAGAAGTATTTTTAGGTCTCTGTCTTTCTCTCTGTCTCTCTTCCTTTTTTCTCTGCATGATCTTATACATACTAAAATACAAATATGAACTTACAGTGACTCTTAAAAAACTTCTTTGATTACAGTATTGATTAAAACTGTATCAAAAGATTAGGTACAATTTCAAGCATAGAAAAAGAAATCACAGTAATTCAAATTTCTCTAGTTCAAAGCTCTATCTACAAAGATTTTTTGGGTTGAGTCTGATGACAATTGTTTCAGCCATAATTACACAACTGAGAAATAAGCTACTCCAAATAATCTACACTTGATCACTCTGAACAATCCTCTATAACCAAACCAATCATGTAAATACACAGCCAACAATATTCTACTTTATGGTTTCCCAATTTAAGTTCTGTCATAAAATATTCAAACTGAATGCAAAACTACTCTCATGACCCAATGTGCAAGATTTTTCTATAGTCAGTTGGTATGGGCCCCTGGACTCTGAAAGGGCAGTGAATACTCGGGAAATGTTAAGGCAGGTGGACAGTTTTCAGAAAATATGCTGAGAATCACAAGTGTCCAATGGGGACAGAAGAGGTATCTATGAAATAGCCAAATCTCCAGTATTCTAAACTTAAGACATGAATCCTGACAGATGGCTTGAAAACATTCAGTCCTTCACTAATTTAACTCCAAAATTGACTGAAATCTATAAGTAGTCTTGAAGTATTTAAGGAAACACTGAGGATTATAAGACAAAAAACTATTTGTAATCTCTAGACAGCAGTTTATGAATACTTACTCATGTTTTTTCTAAATATTAGGAAGATGGCATTCTTTTTCTGCAGAGCACAGTGGAGATAATGTATTTACTGACATGAAACACCAAATAATTTACTTATCTTTACTGGTTATCTTTTCTCTTTTTAATATGGTAAGTCCCATGAGCCCAAAAATTTCTTTTTGTTCAATGGTATATTACCAATGTCTAGAATGTGCCTGACATGTCCTAGCATATAGTGAATACTCATTAACATCTTTTAGGTAAATCAATGCTGACTCTACAGATTTTCTATGGAAGAAAGACTTTTGCAATAAACTATATTTGAGCCATACAAGTAGCAACAGGATTCACAAGAATGCATCACTATTCAGGTAGCATAGTAAGTTGGCTGGGAGGAGTATAGGAGATTCTACATTCACAGAGCACATTACACAGGTATATAAAGTACCTACCAAACACTTGGCAGATGTTAGTCCTCCTTATGTTCCCCTTTCACTTTTCCCAAAGGTAAGTGAGGTAATGTGCTAATGTATGTTTTCTGTACAGCAAATCCTATAGTACAATGCTATGTGAATAACAAAATATGTAACAACCCCATTCATGAAATTAAAATGCATCAACATAGTGGCTAATTAAACTATACGCAAATTCTAAAAACCAATTAATACTGCTTTTTATGATCGCATTTAAAATACTTTCTTGTCCATACTATTCAAAAAGAACATATCAGCTATTAAAGCCCTGGGCTTATGCATGTTAGGGAAGTGTTCTACCACGGAGCTGTATGTCCAACCCTTATTTTGGCTATTTTAACCCTAATCATAGTACCCCTTTAATAGTGGCACATAGGGCACTTAATGAATACTAATTTTTAAAAAAAATCAAGAAATTAGATATTTTAAGTTTTGACTTATCACTGAAGCATACAGTTTATGATATTTATAGCCGGGCGTGGTAGCACACGCCTTTAATCCCAGCACTTGGGAGACAGAGGCTGGCGGATCTCTGTGAGTTCAAGGCCAGCCTGGTCTACATAGTGAGTTCCAGGACAGCGGGAGCTACAGGGGGACCCTGTCTCAAAAAGACCAAAAAAAAAAAAAAAAAAAATTTATAATCTGTATGTAGTACATGTACTATATATATTTTTCCCAATGGCCTATCCTTTATAATCCCACTTTATTTATTACTAGTCCATTAAATCCTTCAATAAAATTTTGCCATTTTGGGACTTTCTGGTATTTACTTACTTAGTTCCCTTCTCCCACCAAAAGGCTATAAGCATTTCCTGGACAAGTGACAAGTGGAAATTGTTCAGTTCTCCTTTAACCTCTAAAGATTGACACAGAAGTTCATAAACAGTTGAAAATAAACTCTGAGTACATGGATGAATGAGCAATGAGCAAATTTGAGTGCATGCATCTTTATAATTAAGATATGTCTGATCTTATGTCTAGTCACAATAACCGTAAGGAGCAACCACCAAAAGCTATAACTTCTTTAACACTGTTAAAAACTTTTACAAGAAGTACCAGTTCAAGCATATTATTCTCTCCCTCGCTAGAAAAATGTTCTGCTAGTTATCTTTTCTCCTTCCAAACTTTCAAAAATTCATTTATGTGATTCAGTAATTTCAGCTCTAACAACTACATTCTAGATAACTGATTCATAATCATTAATAAACTAAGATTGTCAACTCAAACCAGCTGATATCTTGAAAATAAAGTGAAAATTAAACTTACATCCTTTTGCAATAGTGGAAAAGTTTGGGAAGCACATTGGCCTTCATGACGCCACTGCCTATGGGCCTTCCTTATTCTGTGGTGCTAATCTACCTCAGCTATGACTTCAGCCTTGAAAAGAACCATGAGAACCGTTTGACTTCACCCTGTTGCTTCCACCCAAACCTCCCAGCACTCTGCACAGAATGTATTTAAACGTGCTTTTAGATCTTCCTGTACCTACTGCTGTCTTTCAGCATTTTATTCAGTCACTGGCCTTCCTAAAAATGTGTTCTTTCCCTATTGACAAACAGTAAACTGTCACTGTGTGACTTAGAACTCTTCATAATATGGCACATACTTTATTATCACATGCAACAGTCATTGTGCCAAGGGTTCTGAGAAACATAATACAGTCTTCACGATCAAAGTACAGATAAGAAAACTAAAATTAAGAGCAACCATTAAGTACTCCTTCAAAACCAAAAAGTAGGATGCTACTGTTGAAATTGAAACATGAGTCTGTCTTGCTCCAAAGTAACAATCTAGAGTATGAAGTTGAATTTATGAAAAAGAAAGGCACATTTCAAAGGTGAGTGTGATGGCTCACCCTATAATCCTAGCAGCTGGGAGGCTGAGGCAGGAGGACTCATGTGAGTTTGAGGGCTACACAGTAAGTTCCAGGCCAGTCAGAACCATAGGATAGTATCTTGTCCTAGTTAAAACAACAAACAAACAAAAACCAACTAAAAAAACACAAGCAAGCAAGTACATTACCACATCTTATACTTCTACTCACTTTATTCATATACTTCTACTTTATTAAGTAAAAGATGGGACTTAATCTTTAGTGGACGTAAAGATTTTACACAAGCAACATGACTCAACCTTCAAAACAGCCAATGAAAAGAAACATCATAATTAAATATGTGATTTGTATCCACCAATAAGGAAGTCAAAGCTACGGCCCTCAGAAGACTTCACGGTGTCACACAAAAAGCAGTGGACAGTGCCAGTCATGCTGTCTGAGCCATGCTCTTTCCCAATTACTGTGACACCCCACAATCCTCTGAGCTCAACTTCTGCTTTTCTCATATCCCTTAAAACATCTGCCGGCAAAGTTTTTCCATAATATTTAAACAAATGCTATGGGGAACAGGTAGTTTCTGTCACAATTTTGGCAGTGGAGTGTGAAAATAGTAAATACACAATACTAAACAAATGACTGTGCAATATTCCAATAATTTTGTTTACAAAACCAGGAAGATTTGGTCTATGGGCTCCCAGGTACCCATCTCAGATTCATTCAATTCTCTACCTACTCAGTAAACTCATTTTCAACTCTGAACACTTTCTTAACCCTCACTTATATTTTCACAAACTCAAGACATACTTTTAATTCCTATTCATTCCCCTAACATTCCTTCTCAGCTTACTCAGACAAGAAACTGTTCATTTAACATACCTACCTATCACTATCACAATTACATATTCAACTTCTTGGTAGCTGCCTTCTGTAAAATGATTATCAAGATGGACTCCCAATAGGAACAAACAATGGCTTACATGACCCTAATGCTTAAGATCAGCACACAGTGTATAGTAAAAACTCAACAGCTAATTCATTTACTTAACATATTTTCATTATTAAAAACAGTAAAACAGTTCACTAAAGGCTTACTAGAATAGGAAGTAGCATCCATTTTTCCAACTTTAACTGGAGAACCAATGCTTTTCATCTCAAGCCCAACTTCATTCCAGACTGGTTCCAGTTTTTTACAATGGCCACACCATGGTGCATAAAACTACCCAAAAGGAAAAAGAAAACAAATATGAAAATGTGGCACTACAATGAAAACCAATCATAATATTCAAGAATTTCTTTAAATAATCTGTTATTAATCTGTTACAGGGTAGACCGTTTCTAAGCAGTACTATAACAAGATAAAACACATAAAGTCAGGCTGACAAGACCTCAGATGAACGTGCACTAAGGAACGTCTGGAGACACTAACTTGCCACAATAGGCCTTAACACAAATGACAGAATGTATGAACTCCGGGGGGCGGGGGTGCTACGGGAGGGTGCCAGTGGGGAAGTGGATATAAAGATGATTAAGACTGATTGAGATGTTCTGTATGAAATACACAAAAATTCAGTCAAAAAATTTTTTTGAAACCATATAAATCCAGATAGCTTAACTCTTGGCACACACCTCAAAGTAACATTTAAAAAAATTTTATTATTTTTATTTTATGTATATGAATATATTGCCTGCATGTGTGTATGTTCACCACTGCTGCGCAGTGCCTACAAATCAAGAGGATGTTGGATCCCCTGAAACTGGAGTTACAGACAGTTGTTAGCTGCCTTGTGGGTGCTGGGAATTGAACCTGGTTCCTCTGCAAAAACAGCCAGTGCTCTTAACCACCAAGCAATCTCTCCAGCCCCAAAAGTAACATTATTTAAACTTCATTTTAAATGTTTAGTGATACCTATTTAGAACAGAAACATGATGGATTTAAAGCTTTTCATTTTACATGAGTATGCCCATGTTCTAGATAACTTAAAAGCACTAAATAAACATGATGCACCATATCACATGTACCCTGTGTTAATGGCAAGCATCAATCTGCTCCTATTATAAAACTTTCAACACAGAGGTGCCTTTACTGACTTCCATTGTATTCGCTGGTAAGATATGGGTGCTCATTAAGATGAAATGCAGTGGGGGGCTGAAGAGATGGCTCAGTGGTTAAGAGCACTGGCTGCTCTTTCAGAAGACAGGAGTTTGGTTGCCAGTAACCACAAGGCGGCTAACAACTGTCCATAACTCCAGTTCCAGGGCATCCGACACCCTCTTTTGACTAGCACTACACGGCATTGGTGCACTTACACACATACAGGCAGTACACACACACACACACACACACACACACACACACACAAAATGAAAATAATACATTTTTTTAAAGGATGAGTGCCAGGTTGATTAAAACCATGACCTCACCAAATGGTAGGTGATAATCAGCTCCTCAGTTATGTGGTATTAACACAAAACTTCCTGTATTTTCATGAAATAAGTCTTAGTTTTAAATATACCATAGAAATGCTCAACTGAGCAGTGGATTCTCATGCCCTATTCTGTAGCTTCAGGAATCACCAACTCTGCCATGCTGTTCCATTTCTTTGGCTGCTAACCCCACTCCCCACCTTCCACATGGAAGTTTCAAATATGATGAGGCCTAAGCATTGCAAGCTTGCAAGCAAGGACTTAGATCAAACTTCTTTTTTTCTAGTATTAGGATGAAAGTATGTTTGTTACTATTATCAATATAACTTAATCGCTTAAAAGTACGAAGAAACAAGAGTAAATTTTCTATGCTAAAATCCTAACAAGGTCTTTAAGATATAATCCACAGCCTCATTATAAGAAATGGTTCCAGCTTCCTTTCTTAATGATCCCACCCCCATCATTTCATTGAAAATAGATTCCTTTGCCAGGAACTTGAAGTCTCCAAGGTTCATTTTAACATAAAAAATTAACAGGGGCAGGGAACTCAATAGGTAAAGAGCTTCTCACACACCTCTGAGGACCAAAATTTGCATCCCTAGAACACATGTACAAGCTGGGACGCATGTTAGTTAGCCCACTCTAATCTTGGCCCACAGGAGGCACAGACAGGGAATCCTGAGAGAAAGCTAGCCAGTGAAACTAGTAGATATTGTGAGCTCCAAGTTCAATGAAATACTCTGTGTCAATACAAAAGGAACAGAGCAATTAGGAAGATACCCATGGTCAACTCCTGGCCTTCAAAGGCATGGAATACACCATGTGATGACCTATGCAATCAAGAGAGCTCACACTTGCAAGTACACATGTATACAGGCACACACACATCACTCACATACACACAGGGGAAATAAAAATCTAAATAGCAGCATCTGAAAAAACAAATTGCCTTCTTTGCGTGGAAGAGATAGAAAATAATATTTAAATTTGCATACTCACATCAACAAGCCAAATGTCATCTTTTCGATTGTCTTTAAACCTAAAAACAAAAGGAAAAACAAGTTTGAATTATAACTATGTTCACAAACACTCCTACCAGGAATATTTATGGATGTAAATAGTATTATTTACAAATGGTATAAGTAGGCATACTAAATTATTAACTATAAGAACACAGACCAAATTCTTTGAATAAAATTTCTATTTAGAGTTTTTACTCAGTGACCTCTAAATCTGAACCTATCCAAGCATTTTAGGAATTTAAATAGAAAACTGATCAAGGAAGTGAAGAATTCAACAACAGAAAAGAGAATTTGTGGGGAGAAAGGGGAGAAACACAAACGTAGTCTGCTTCCATTATCTGATATTCTAACTGGGGCCAAGAGGTTCCACTTTACTGAACAAGTGAAGGTTTTCTTTCTTATTAGCCCATTAACAATACAGCATATCTATATTTTGTTAGGTGTTATAACTAACATAGGGATGAGTTAAAATGCACAGGAGGATTTGTAAGATAGATGCAAATAATTTATCATTCACATAAGGAACTTAAGCATCCACATTTTGTTATCTGTAGAAAACTTTGGAACTACTCCCTGTGGTTACTGAGGAATGATTGCAAATGCCTCAGCTCTTCACTCTTCTACTCCATTTTAAAGTGCAGGAAATGTAGTGCAGCAGATATAAGGCTATGCTTAGAAAAGCCTGCTTGCAAGATCGGCCCTTTGTTCACATCTAAGAACTTGGAATTTAGAGTTTTCATCAGTTCTTGGTAAGGAATGCTCCGTTTTCATAAAATATTTGTGAAAAGCAACAACTGTAGAACCACTGCATAAGATCACATGCATGAGACAGACATTCCAGGCCATGATAAACCTGTAAACTGCTATCAACTGGTTAGGCCTGTCCTTTTAACTGTCCATTAAAACACTCAGATAGCCCCTGTGAACTAGTATGTAGAATTCATTGTATGCACATGCATGGGCCCACTGAGTCTAGGCTCTATCAAAACTCCAGGGTGACCATCAGAGCCAATGCTCTTAGAAAACCCGAACAGGAAGAAAAGTACATATGACCCAGAAAGAATGCGAGCAAGTCAGCACAAAGCATGATGATGACTAAGTGAACCTCAGAGAAACATAGGTAGAGAGGTGCATTATGGATGACACAAAAGGTCCAACACGTTCCATTTGGTGAGAATTTCATGGCTTGTGGACCTGTGTATCTGTGCAGTATCTCTAGCCTTCTCTAGGATGTGACAAGTGAGACTTCTTTTGATACTGTTTGGTGCCTTCTCACCAATGGCATTCCCTGCGCAGTCTGGGATCACATCTGAATTTTCCTGGGTCATTGTCTTGCAGATTGGGGTAGCAGATGGTTGCACATTTGCTGGCACTTCTACATGGAACAATTCACTTTTCACACTTAGCCCATAAGCAAGGTAGGCCATTGGTTATGTTCCCCAATGGAAAGGCCTTTTGTGTAAGCATCCACAGAGGAAAGAAAGTGATTATCAGAAGCAGAATTCCCTCCTCCTCAGGCAGAGTCATGACTCTTAGGGCAGTATGAAAAAGGTGGCCTACACTGACATACCCAAGATACCATTGAGTTAACAAAGCTACTTTCTCATTAACAAAAGGTTTTCTTCAGAATCACAGTGTTTCTATAAACAATATGCAAACATACCACAAGACCCATTTGTATGATTTGGACCCACAGGACCTTCATGCCTTTTACTTGTGTTCAAATGATCACATTACTCACTACAGTGATTTTGTCATGTAATCAGGTGCCAAGGAGGTCAATGAAGACAAGGTGGGAAACTGGAATTAACAGTCTTCAGAAATGGTTCAGTGGGTAAAACACTTTGAGTTCAGATCCCAACATTCCTGTACAGAGCCTGAAACCCCAGGGTCGTAGTGTTGTGTGTGGGGTGACAGAAACAGGAAGACTGCTGGGGCTTGCTGGCTGCCAGCCACCACCAGGTTCAGTAAGAGAGCCTGTCTCAAAGGCATAGTTGGGAAGCAATAGAGCAGGATACCCAATGTAAATTTCTGTCCTCTGCACATGTATGCACTAGCTGCACGCACACACACATGTACACACCTTGACTACAAATCCCCTCCAGATTGTAATGCACTGATCGTGCACCAAATCTGGTGTGGGAAGAGCACCTTCCCCACATCTGGCCTGACAGGGAAACCATTGTTATTGCCTGCGGTCAAGACAGAAGATCACATACAGAATTCTGCCAAGGAAGCTAGACCTAGTGGACCAAAGTGTTGTGCTCAATCTGTGTTACTGTAAGATCAGAATTTCACACAATCTGTGTTATTAACCCAGAGAAGTCACACATTTGAAGAAAAATGGTAAAACAATATGGAAATATCTGCAAGATTTTTCATCTTATAATTACTATCAGAGCTTTTTGGGGTACATCTCCACTTTGCATGTAAATGGAACTTAAAACAACGTTTGGAAACTAAATTAGCAATATGCAAAGCATCAGTCACTACAGTGTCTATTATTAAGACTGGACTCTTATGTAGATAGATAACATCTGAGCTGGACAGCGTTAAAAAATACATATATATTTACTCACGAATCATCTAGATCTTCTACAAATCCTTTGCAGACAGCCAGGTCAAGCAACATAACTGGAACGAAAAGACAATGTAGAATATAAATGATTTCATTTTGCTCTTGCCTTAAGCTTAGTCACCTATAAAATGTTTGATTTTTTCTTTACAATCTACCGTTAACTCTCACTTGATCATCTCAGGGTGAACAAAAGCGCACATACTTTGTAAGTTGTTAAAATGTACTCTACGTGTATCGTATTGCAATGAGTAGGTGCTAGGCAAGCGAGTACATAAAATATATGCTTGCTCTACATATTTTCACTTTCTTTTATTTTTTTTCCTCTTCATTACCCTAATTTTCTGGACTAGAGATAATTTCTGATTTCTTCTCTAAAAGCAATTATTCCTTCATTAAAAAGTCCAAATTCAAGTCCAAATCCTATTATCTTCTCCCCAAGTGGGATTAAAAAAAAAATAACAAAATAGGGCTACAGCTCCAATATTTACAACAGAGCAGTACTTGGCAAAGGCTCTAAATGGTGGCTGAGTCAGGAAGGGAACCACAATGAGAGCCAGGGCACCCCGCGCTGACAGCAAAGGGCTGAGAGGGACGAACAGACAGATTCTCGGTCCGCACAGTCCTGGCTACCTGGCCACGATCTGCCCTTGACCACCCTCTCCTAGCCAGGCTAATGAAAAGCCTTCCAACGTGCCAAGACTCAGAACAGTGGCCAAGCAGGGTAGCGACATCCTCCCCGCCTGTCAATGGAGTCGCGGAAACTTCCTCTCATCACAGAAGGCAGCGGCATCCTCTCCACACGGGGCAGTGGATCGGGACGAGCCGGGATGGACAGCGGGATACAGAGAAGGGGCAGGACGAGCGCCCCGGGGTCCCCGCCACTCCACCCGCCCAGCCTCCCGCCTCTCCCCACCGCCCGCGGCTCACCTGCGGCGCAGAGCCCGAGGGCCGCCCGGCTCCTCCGCCCCGCCGCGCGCTCCATGGAGCGCAGCGAGGGTACCGCGAGGAGCGCGCGGAGAGACGGGAAAACCTGCGCCGGGCGTCCGCCTGCCCGGAAAGGGAAGCGAGAAGCTGCAGGCGTGCAGGGAAAGCTCTATGTCGCGGCCCGGGTAACGGGGCGGGGCGGCAGGGAAAGCTCTATGTCGCGGCCGGGGTAACGGGGCGGGGCGGGATGGGGTGGGGCGGGGCGGGCAGGCCTCCTTCGGCCTCACTGGACACCCCCTCCCCACCCCCACTGCCTCAGCCTCTGAGCATGCGCGGGCTGAAACGCATGCGCTGGAGTGAGGCGCATGCGCACTCGCAGAGCTTCAGCGCCTTGGGATCTCTGAGGAGCGTGGGAATTTTCTTGGGGTTCTTCCTGTGACTGCCCGAGTGCGTGGAAACTCTTCCCGGAAAGCACATACAGCGTTATCCAGTGAATTTAGTGCTGGAGGTGAGGTAGGGTCCGACATGCACTGCGAGCTTGCATTTTCTCACATTTTTTAAAGTGGTACTCCCATCCAGTGAGCGCATCTGTGCACTTTGGCTGTGGATCTAATAGGGAATAGTGCTTTGGTAGTGACAGTGTGAAGAGACTCTGGATTGCTGAGCTGGCCGCCCTATGTATACAAATCAATTTGGAATCTTCTGAATTGGCCCATTAACATGCCTTCATAGATCTGAATCCCACCTCCCACAGGCAAACTGTTGGGTGGCATTTTCATAGCCACCTGGTGTGTTGACCATGCTCATGCAAGAAACCATAAAGAAACTCAGTGCATCACACACTCAAAAAGATACTAAAGTACAAACTGGGCTTCCGGAGAGGAGTTTCAGTTGGACAGACGGGGATGACACGTTAATCGCTGTTGAAAATGCCCAGAATTCATTATATATAAATGTTTGAAACGAAAAGAATAATTTTTGAAAAAATCAGAATTGCTTCTTCTGAAACTTGAAGAAATCGAACTCAATCATAACTTTTTTTTACTGTTTTCTGATTATTTGATAAATTACTTAGTGTAAAATACTAATATTTCAGCCCGTTTCACTTTTTCCTACAATGAAATGATTCATAATAAGATAAGCTTTTTACGTGTTGGACATGAGGTACTGAAAGCATTTGAAAACAGTTCTTGACACGTTGTGAAAACAACAGAGATTATGATGTCAACCGACTCATTTTAGGTTCAGAATTCCAACACAGAAATCTCATTAAAGAATGATATTGTGGGCTGGAGAGATGGTTCAGCAGTTAAGAGCACTGATTGGTCTTCCAGAGGACCCGGGTTTGATTCCCAGCACCCACATGGCGGCTACGAATTGTTCTTTACTCCAGTTCCAGGGGAATCCAAAGCCCTCTTCTGACCTCCGCCGCACTGCACGATAGGGTTAGACTCACATGCATGCAGGCAATACACTCATACACATAAAAATAATAAAATATATTTTAAAAAAGAAAAAAAGAATGCTATTGCTAGTGATCAGAAGATAAGGAATTTCAGTATGATTAAGAGCAAGGGCTACTCTCCCTTTGACCCCTTTGTGATACAGCTTGGTATCTCATGCAGGCGTTTTGTAGCCTCAAATAATTCTTTAATAAGAGGCTGGAGAGATGACTCAGCAGTTAAGAACACTGGCTGCTCTTTCAGATGATCCAGGTTTGGTTCCCAGCACCCACATGGCAACCTACACCATTGTTAGTAACTCCAGATCCACGAGATCTGATGACCTCTTCTGGCCTCCACAGGCACTGCACACATGTGTGCACTAGCATACAGACAAAACATACACACATTAAAAAAAAATCCAAAAATTAAACAAAATATTTTAATAAGAAATAGACTAAAATATAATAAGGGAACTATTAAGGTGATGAGAATGATTTGACTCCACATGCTAGTAGAGCAGCTTTAATATCTACCACAGTAGACTTGATACCACCCAAGTATACAGGTTCAGGTTTTTGTTTCTTTATTAAATTTTTATTTATGCTAGAGTTCATTGTTTTTCCCGTTGGCCTCTGTTAAGTGTGACCAGTGTGACTGAATATTTAACTTAACTAGCAAATTTACAAACTAACATAATTTATTGGAGAAGTTTTAAGTACTGTTGGAAAAATCAGATTATGTGAATTTACTGAAAATTTTATGATACTGAAATACTAGTCAAGTATTACTGATGAAACTTTAGTATTCAATAAAATATACTATAAAAGTAAACTTTTGATTAGAAAATGGATTACAAATGTAATATTTTTAAATATGTAAATGTAATATGTTAAAATATTTTAGACGTATTAGGTTAATAATTCACTTCTTTTCTCTTTTCAGTGTGGCTACAAGAACTTTTAAATCACATATGTGGCTTGCATTCTGTTTTCACTGCATAGCAACAACCAAGGCAGTCTGAAAGTAAAGTAAAAGTAATGCATGAAACAGTGATCAAAACAAAAACACTTTTAGGAATTTTGTGCAGAAACATGCTGAATTTCTACATAAGAAATTTACATTCCAGTTATAGTACAATATAGAATAACGTTTGTTTGTTTGTTTGAGATAGGGTCTCCCTGTTTCCCCAATTGGCCTGGAACTCCCTAGATAGACCAGGCTGGCCTCAATCTCACAGAAATCCACTTGCCTCTACCTCCCAAGTACTGGGACTAAAGGCATGTGCCAGCACACCAGCTAGAATAACATTATTAACTAAAGAAAAACATATTTTCTTGATCTGTCTCAAGTGGCTCATTTCCTTAATATTTAATAGGTTCTTTAATTTTGAAAAAATTCTTCATATCAACCTTTCACATGAACTACATATACAAATATATGCTTTGTGTATTTTGAATATATATTGTCATTGTCTGAATATTTTGGAATGTTTATATATTGAAACATAGATGGGACTATTCTTTTGTATGTCATGAGTCCTCATAAATAGAATTAGTGAGTTTGTTTCATAAAACTTAAATATTTAAGGAATTATGGTTGTCAATTTAATGTCACCCCGTCTTTGGAATTTTGTTATGAGATCAAGAACAGGCTAAGCCAGGTGTGGGGGTCACCTAAGCATACAAAGGCACAGGAGGAATAGGGAGATCAGGCTAAGAAAGACATCTTTACCAAAAGTGCATGTATGAAGATGTCTGTAGGAGAATTGACAGTGTCTAAGAGTAGAATAGATAGTTGTTTCCTAGAGTGAAGTACTATAGAAAAATAAGAACAACTGAGCCAGGCATGGTGGTTACTTGCCTGTAATTCCATTGCCCAATAGACTGAGGCAAGATGATTGCCATGAATTTAAGATGAGGCTGGGCAGATTGTGAGACCTTATCTCAAAAAATTAAATAAATAAATAAATGTGAGCTTTTCTATGAACTTATATATGAGTGTGTCTCATAAATGTGAGCCTGAGAAATCACATGAAAAGACGGTGCTGACTCTTTCCTTTCTATCAGCTCAAAAATAATCAATTTAAGGGCTAGGGAGATGATCTAATTAGCAATATTATTTGCTATGCAATCATAAGAACCACAGTCAGGATACACCTGTAACCCTAGCTCCACAGGAGGTGGAGCCATACGTGTGCACGTGGAGGTGTGTACACACACATGAAAATAAATCTTCAAACAAGTTAAGCAATAGTTTTAGAATTCTGCGGTACAGGAAGCATTTTTGGTTTTTTATCTGGTGCTGCTTGCAAAGATGTATTTACCTTGTGAAAATACACTGAATATTCTATGTGTAGTTTATAAGCATTTCAACCTAGGAATAAATTGTCTAAGCTTATGTTTAATGGGAAGATTCGGTATCAAGCTCTGTTTCTCAAATTTGACTAAATATCAGTTACTTCTGTTAAAATTTGAATGAGAAATGTCATTCACAGGTTCATGTATCTGAGCAGTTATTCTGCAGCTGGTAGCGTTGTTTGGGAAAGTTGTAGGGCATAGCTGGCTGACATAGGGCCTTACTGGGGGTTTCCATATTCCAGTTCACCTGCACCCTCTGTCCCCTCACTGCTAATGCAGTTACTCAGCTACCATCTACTCCCGCTTTGCTCCAGCACCTTCTTCAACCATGTTGGATGGTACCCCATCAAACAATGTGCCAAAAGAAATCCTGCAGTTGTCTCAAGTATTTTATTACAGCTATGAGAAGAGTAAATAATACTATTATATATGCAGAAGAGATTAAAATTAGGAACAACTTTGTGAAAATACATGTGAAAAGTTAAAGTTCAAACCCTAAAAATAATGAAAGTTCACTTAAAATGCATTTTAGAATTAGATATAGCTATTAAGGAAATTAATTCAGATTTTGAAATTATTCCACGAAGAAAACAGTAGGTTCAGTTATTACCAAAATGTGATTACCTATTTTGGATTTTTAAAAACTATTATTAGTGATAATTCTCACAAATATGAGAGAATAAAAGAGCCATGATCTAGCAGGGTCAATTAGTTTTATAATTCAATCTCACACCAAATGCCTGGAACAGTGCCAACGATAGGAGCTGCAGTCTAAGGTCTGAAACCTAGGAACTCAGGGCAGGTAGCAGCCTCATATCTCAGCTCCAGCAGAGCAAGTGAATTTGCCTTTCTACAATCTTTTTTTTTCTTTTTTTCTATTCAAAATAGATGCGGGTGATGCCCTCCCCCACTGAAGAAGACTGCCTGCTTTGCTAAGTTTCTGATTTAAGTACTAGCCCCTTTCAGAAACATTTTCACAGATATATTGAGAATAACATTTTGCTGTCTGTCTAGAAGTCCTTTAATCCAGTCAGATTGACACATAAAATTAACCATGATATTGTTGTACCCAATTTTCTGAGAACAGAAAAAATGGGGACCATTCACCAGTTGGTTCAGTGAGGCTAGTGTAAAGTTGGCCAAAAAAGTCAGAAGAGGCAAATGTGAGAAAGAAATTATACAGTACCAAGTCACCTGTAAACAGAACCAGAAATGATGCTCTTAATAAAATATACATATGTGATGCCCTTGCATACATGTAGGCAAAACTTTCATATACATAAAATAAGAAAGCAATGACATTAGATTACTTAACAGAGTCCTGGCCCATTCATTTCTAACAAAGGGACTTACAAAAGATGATGTTGATAAGTTAGATAAAAATGAATCAGTGCAGAAGTTGTTGCCAATCTGTATGTGGTTTGGTTTGTAGTAACACAAATTTTTTTTTCAGTTCACCTAAATTTTAATGTTTTTCCATATTTACAGATCATATATAGTTCCTGAACTATCCTCTCTATCAAATGCAAATCATTGAGATGAAGATGCTTTATCAATATCTCTCATTTTCTTCAGATCTTACCTGGAAAGCCAGTCTCATCCTCATGGATTTACCTACTCTTCAACACTACAGCAGTGATTCTGTGAATGACTAAATAAATGGATTTCTTTTTTATTGAGCTTTCGTACATTTCATACAACAGTTCTCAATCAAATTTAGACTCCCTCCCCAACCATGTCCCCCACACCCTCCCACCGGCCTCATGCATTCCTCCATACATGTTAAGTCCTACCCCATCAAGCATTTGTACCCACATGTCCTTTGGTGCATGTTCATCCTCAAGTCTAGTCAGCCTTGAAGCCACCTACTGCAATCTAGAGCTCTGTGAGCCACAAAAAAGTGTAAGCTGATGGCAGGTGATGGAAAATTCAGTTGGTGCTGCTGTTTGCAGCATTGACAGAAGTTAAATTAAGTTCTTATTCTCGTTCAGTTGAGCTTAATTTAGAAAACTGCAAACTGATGGAAAGTTAGCTAAAAATTCAGTTCCTGGTTGCTGCTTCCAACATTAGCAAAAGTGAAAATAAGTTCAGGCTGTCTTTCAGTTGAGTCTCAAGACTTCTGTTTTCAAATGGAATCCAAACCAAAAGATCCTGGACACTAGCTGTTGATGAGCCAGCTAAGCTTGTGAGGTACACAGCAATACAGACCATCTGAGCTGGGCAAGTTACTGATGAAAGACAGGAAAGGCTTCTTTTACTGAAGGCATTTTATAGAGTCCTACAAATATTGTGTTAATAAACCTTTCCTAAAATAGTCCCTGGGACTGGAGAGATGGCTCAGCAGTTAAGAGCACTGGATTTTTTTTACAGAGGACCCTGGTTCAGTTCCCAGCAACCACAACTGTCCATAAGTCCAGTTCTGGGGATCTGGCACCCACTTCTGGCCTCTGTGGGCATTACATGCACAGATGCACTTACATACATGCAGGCAATACACTTGTACATATAAAAGAAATAAATGAAAAACATAGTTTCTGAGAATATGATGTCTAAGTTGATCCACTGTTAAGTGACTGGAGGTGTACCTGTGCGCTATCCTCTATCTTCCAAAGGCTGCTATCTTTATGGGAATGGTTCCAGAAGCCCATGTTAAGTGGGATGAACTAGGAACACTATAGCCCTTTCTAGAAAAGGGTGATAGACCCATGCTGCCTTCCTGGTCATTCAGACTGTCCACTGAAGCTTGAAAAATGCTGCCCATGTAGACAGAACATGGCTGACAATATGGCCATGAAACAAATCCCTGTGGGATGGCCCTCAGGGTAATGACCAAAGCCAAGATAAAAGAACCCACCAATGCTAACCCCATGTATGATTATGTTCTCTGGATTGAAGAGGGCACAAGAGGGGTTTTAGCCCAGATTCCCACATTAAATTTCAAGATAATTCAAAAGTTACAATTTACAAAAGGAGGAGGAAGAGGAAGATGAGGAGGAGAAGGAAAAACAGGAGGGCAAGGAGGAGAAGGGGGGAATTAAAGTGGAAGAATTTATGATGGGGTGTTGTGAAAATTCATGTGATTAACTTCAAATACAATGAAAACAGAGGAAACTGGCAGGGTGCCCACCAAAACCTTGATGGAATCTTCTGTGAAGTCAAGAAAACACAATGGCTTCCCCTCAAACTTTCCAAGATGCAAAACTATCAAAGTGGAGATGATCAATTTTCCAGTGTTAGAAGAATTTCAGAATAAGAAAGTTCTTAGTGGGGCATGGTGGCACACACCTTTAATCCCAGCATTCAAGAGGCAGAGGCAGGAGGATCTCTCTGAGTTCAAGGCCAGCCTGGTCTACATAGTGAGTTCCAGGGCAGCTGAAGCTACAGAGAGACTTTCTCAAAAAAGACCAATAATAATAATAAGAAGAAGAACATGAAGAAGAGGAAGAAGAAAACAAAATGATAAAGTAATTGAGCTTTTACCAAGTAAACAAGATCTCTCCTAATTTGCCAAAGGATGGTCATGCACTTGTGTCTGAGGAAACCTCAGAGTAGTTTCCTGTGACTTCTACCTTGTAGAAGACTTCCAATAATAATAATAATAATAATAATAATAATAATATAATGATGATATTTCTCATGAGCAGCATTGAATTTCAAAATGTTCTCTTTTAATATAAAGGAAACATGTTAATTTTCTATTTGAGCTGTTTGAATAGCACAAATAGTTTCTCTTCTGCAGATTAGAAAGAAGTCCAGTAATCTAAGCTACTTTCTCTTTTCTGAGTTCCACAAAGTGAGAACCAATGTGTGAGAAGCTCTGCTCCTTCTGGAAGATTCCATGAAAGAATCTGTTTCCCTGTGGGTGCATGGCTGAGTGCCTTGTTCCCTTTCTGGCTGCGGGTAGGTAATGGTTCTCACCTAGATCATACATTCAGTGACTCCTCTCTGTCTCCCACAAAGTCAGGAACAATATTCCAAGTTCTGTTTCAGACCTCCCCAGCTTTCCTTCAGGAGCAATGCTTCTTCTCACGTCTTCTGTTTCTAAGGGCTTATGTAGCCCACCTGAGTAAAAGTTATATTTCAACTGTAAATGCAGTCAGCCTAAAGTCTCTTATGTGCTTAATATTGACTTAATCTAGGTAGGCTTTTTATTGCATTTTTCAGAATACAATCTAGACTAGCATTAGAATAGGTGAAATTCTTATCCCCTTTATAAATATAACATTTAAAAATATTAAGTCTATTTTCTTTTCAATAATTGCTTTTATATTTATTTCTGAGTTTTCTGGACTTAGAGATGCTAACCCAAATTTGTATGCCATTTAAAATTCCCATTAATTTGTTTATTCACTTCTAGAAAGCCACCCCAAGGGAAATCACTTCAATTCTTGTCTATAATCCTGCATAAGTACTTTTAAATTTTACTTTTCATTACTGTCACTTGGTTCCTAATTTCACTTTTGAGTGTCCTGCTCATGTCATACTTCTCTCTGCTCATAGAAATCTGAACAGCTTGCCAAGTTAAGTAATTGGTTGGCAAACTACTGATCAACACTACCGAAATCTATTATGTTTTCCTCCGGATGCTAAACACTTAAACATACAGTAAATCCTTCATATTCTTGAAAGTTTGCAGCTCATGCTGATTCTAAAATGCTAGTTGATTATATCTGTCATGTACATTTTCCTCTGCATGGATGTCACAATGATGAGGCTATTCCCTTGAGCCAGACAATGTCTTCTAGATGATTCATGTAATGTATACTTTATCAGTGGAATAAATGTATCAGTAATACCCAAAGGATCAAGTAATAAGATACATTAGCAAATGCTCTAATTTGTTTATCTTCTTTGATGTATTTAATATTTATCTTTTTTCACTCCATGGACGCAGAACCAACTTAAACTCAATATGTTTGAATTGCCCACAAACATCATATTCTGAGTGATGCTCTTATATTCACAATCAAACTCCTATAATTTTTTTCTATGTTCTTCTGATCTGATTCCATTATCCCTTAAATGAAGCCTTGTCTTCTTATATAAGAACTAGCAGATTTGCTTAGAGTTTTCCTTTGCCAGGACTGGAACTCACCTATCTTTCCAAAAACTTGGGCTCTTTTTCTTGGTGAGTTGGTTTCATTAACTGTAAGATGGGTTCTGTTTGTGTATTTGATTGGTCCCATCTAAACTGTCATTGTCTCTAGTCTAGTTCAGTGTCAGAGGGATAAAGGATTATATTATTTATGTTATTAGTCATTAATTTCTATATCAATGACTATATATTACATATTTGCTATATAGTCTACTACAAAATTATGCAAATTCAAATATATATGCCAATTGTTAAGTGGATTTGGGAGGATGGTTTTCAAATAGTCATCCTCCAAATGTTGAAAACTCCACATACTGTTTTTACCTCAAAGTACAGAAAATATATAAAGCTGCTTTTCATGGAAAATTTTAAAATATAAAACTGTGATTAAATCCAGTATTAAAGAATAAATAGTTTTCAGACACAGGTTTTAGTATCAACTAAATATTTTTAAAAATAAAATTAATTTGTAATTTCTCAGTCATCTGGTTTTACTATTCTAAGATTACTCTGATTCTCTTTAAGTAGTCAACAGATTTTTCTACTTTTATTTTCCTGAAAACAAAGAAATACTGCATTTTCCTTGAATGTCCTGAAGTGACATTCTTTGAGGTATACTTCCAAACGGCCAGCCAGGCAAAGATTATGATCTCAGTTGAGTCACTGGTTACCACTAGGACACAGTTAAGGTCACTAAACCAACACTTGCCACAGTTCTCCCTGTTCCCTCCACCCCACCAGAGAATCCTAGAGCCTGAAGGGTGGCTAGCCCAGATGCTAGTGTTTGTGGGAACTATGGGTCAGGTGCCTAAGCCCTGAGACCTAAGAGAAATCTTTTTTTATTTGGTATTTTACTTATTCAAATGTGAAAATTCATGAAATAGGAAAATTAATCTTAAAAAATATACTGCTTCTTGGAAGGCATACTGAATCTCTTATCTGTGTGCCAAGCAGTGCAGATAGGCTGATGTGTGAATGTCTTCTGAGTTGGTGGTATTTCTAGTGTTTCTGTTTCAGAATATCATGGTTCCCAAAACTATGGGTAGAAATCTGTAATTCTGAGTCCTTGCCATACGAGTTACAAGGTACAGATCAGGAACCATGCTGATTAAACCACAATGACTAGGTGGAGTTTTCTTTTAATTTCTTGGCTGCAGCCTTCTGGTGGATTGAAGGTAAGGACAAAAGCAAGGTATTCAGTTTATAGGAGCTATAGAGAAAGGATATAAGAACTGACAGAAAGCTTTATGGGAGCGGAGAGAATCACAGGCTCAAAGCACTCGGTTTATGATCTGTATGTGAATTCCCAAGTGATGCTGGATTGAAGTAGCTCAGACATCGTGCCAAAGCCAGCAGGTGAACCTCAGACAGGGAAAGAGACAAAGGGAGACACTGAAGATCCACTACAGAATTGCCCTTTGTACTGGAGTGTAAGAACATGTCTTCAGAATATCCAATAAGCATGTTTTACTAAGAAACATTTGAGAGAAAAAGGAAAATGAAGGCAAAGGCAGGAACGTCAGTCAGGTCTTGGTTTTTTTAAAGCACCTTTGACAGTGTCCTCTCACCATCTCAAGCAGAGAG